GGGTTATGCGGGTTCGGGTTATTCTTGTGCAGCCCTAGGAAATGAATTAATTAAGGAAACAAAAATCGGGAACAGTCTTTTTAAGAGTTTCACATACAACACAAAAATGTGAGCAGTAAGGTCACGTTTGGTATTCCAATTAGTTTTCAGGTTTTCATAAGATGCATATATATTATGTTGAACTAAAAATAAGCATATATACGTCTGGTATATTGTTTGAAAAGTGCAAAAAGAAATCTGAAATAACTAGATATGAGCCCGTTTGGTAGCATGAAAATCGGTTGTTTTGGCTGATTCTGCTGAAATTTGTGAAATTCTAACTGAAGTGGCTGCATTGGCTGATTTAAGAAAAAAAATTAAATTATATTTTATTAAAAAAATAAAGAAAAAATTATGTGTAAAAATAGCTAAAATGGTCATCTACAGTAACTTCAGCCAATACAGCCAGAAAAGTAACTCGAACCTTACTTTTTCTGCTTCTTACACAATTCAGCCCGCGAAAGCAAACGTTACATGTTTGGTTAAAAAGTTGGCTGATAAGCCTGATAAGCCGAACTAAAGTATTGCCACATGGCCTCATAGAAAACAGAAAGCCATGTAAAAAACAACATAGAGCCCGTTTGGTGATTCTATTTTTCGGCTTATCTGGCTTATCAGCCAACTTTTTAACCAAACACGTAATTTTTAATTTCGCGCGAGGAATTAACCGGCAAAAATTTTTAACCGGAAAAAGTAAGGTTGGAGTTACTTTTCTGGCTGTATTGGCTGAAGTTACTATAGATGACCATAATAACAATTTTTCAAATAATTTTTTCTTTATTTTATTAATAGAATATAGATAGTACTAGGGTATTTTAATTTTTTTTCATAAATCAGCAGAATCAGCCAATACAGCCACTTCAGCCAGAACTTCATAAATTTAAGCAAAAAAAGAGGATGACACCCCATCCCTGAGGGCCCCCCACCAATGGCGGACCCACTAAGGGTCCCATGGGGTCCCGGGACCCCGTGGACTTTGAAAATTTTACTTATATGTATTACATATATTTTACAAAATTTATGTGTATATATAAATAACATGTATGCGACTAAGAAAGCAAACAGATCCAGTGGAGTAGTGGTAGTGTACGTGTGCGTATGGTTAAAGGTCTCTCTGTACGTGAGGTATTGGGTTCAACTCCCTTTCATGTTAGTTTTTCTTCCTTGAACCTTATATTTTTTGAAACTCATTTTCTTTGGGTCCATTCTTTAAGATTTTCTTCGAATGTTAAGATTAAATAAATAAATTTATGTATTTATGATTTTTCTTAAAATTTGACGATGAAGGATGAAAATATATTTCAGTATTGTATCCAAATTTAAAGAAATTCGGAGTACCGAGATTAGTTAAGATATTAATTCAAATGTTCGTCTTTAGTAAATAATAAAGAATCGGATATAGTACTTGCTGAAAGTGAAACTAATTTGGCGGTTTGGCCTATAATCTACATGAACAACATAATGATTTCATCCTAATGTTCAAGAGAGTGTACGCCGTAGTTATTGTCAAAAAAATGTCATTTCAACTTCGGGATCATGATTTCCCTATTAAAGTAATTGACGGCAAAAAAACGTAGATTTGTTTCAAATTGGTTTGATGACCATAAATGGTTGGAATACAGTATTGCCAAAGATGCTGCATTTTGTTTAGCGTGTTATTTGTTTAGGAATGAGTGGAAAGTAAGTGGTAATCATTTTTTTGGAATAGGATTTTTAGCATGAATAAAAAAGATAGGTTTTACATAGCAAAAAAAAGGATAGATTTTATGTACATGTTGATGGACCTATATATTATAGAATACTTCCAACAAATGAAACCTAGGAGGTACTTTTGTAAACTTGAGAATGACTTTTATATGTAATTTTTTGTTTTATATCATCTTAATGTTTTGCCGATGTACGTTAACCATGAAACATTATGCTTATTATTTTTATTTTTTTAATTTTATATTAATGAGAGTTCCATTAGTTTAGGGACCCCGTGACTCTGATTTTCTGGGTCCGCCACTGCCCCCCACCACCGACCGGACGACACGATGGGAGGATGTAAATTGGACTATAATCACAATCTGACAGATAGAGAGTGAGGCTCTGTCCCCGGTACTTGCAGAGGCCCTATGCATTTTTTTCATAAATTTCAGCGGAATCAGTCGATTCAGTCAATTTCAGCCATAAAGAAAGTTTACCCAACAAATCGTAGCGTGTCAAAGGAACGTTTTCAATTTCATTTTGACCAAAATTTACTAAAATAGTGCTTAAAATTATTTTACTTTTTTATGATATTTCACCTACTTAGGCCATGTTTGGTAAATGGCTTATCAGCCATTTTTCAGCTTATTTGACCACTTTTAATTGGGTTGACCAGCTGAACTCTCAAAATTTATCAATTTATGTTTGGTAAATAGCTTGTGAGATTAGATTATTGCTCTCCAAAAGCTAAGTTTTCAAACGCTAGCAACAGCAGCGTTTTGTGTTTGGCTGGTTGCTTTGTAATTATTAAATGTCAATTTAAACCTTCGTGCTACTTTCGAGTTCGGACGTTCTGCAGTTTGAAGTACAAACCATGCCTCTTTATGAATTGAATGTTGCTAATTATTTATTTGTTTTTCACAATTTCACATATGCTGGTATGCATCGTAATGCTTACATGCTGCAGCGCACTTTCTTTAATTTTTTAAATTACAAATAAACTTGATTTTTTAATTCATACTCCTTATTATTCAAATTAAATTGAAATGTTTGTTTTAATTTATTTTAGCTTTCATGCAGTTTTGTTTATCAAATTCTAAAATTTGAGTGATTTATACTCTGTAAGAAATGTAAGTAATATGATAGTACGCAATATTTTTATAAGCAATAGCTAAAAATGAAATAAAATAGTAATGTTCTTATATGTCTTTTTACAAGCAAACATCTATTCTTAAACAGCTAATTTACTAAACATTTGCTGACAACAAGCTAACGTAATCAGCCAACTAAAACAGCTGACATAACCAGCTATTGTCAATCAGCTGTCTTAACAAGTTAACAGCTAAAGCTAACAGCCGGTTGCCAAACAAGGCCTTAATATTATTCTCGGTTTCTTTTTAGCAGTAACATGAATAATTTTACAGTATTCACGTTCTCTACTTTGACTAATATTTAATGTTTTCTAATGAATAGAGAAATTAAATATCATGACGATTAAAGTTGTGTGTTAACAAATGTGAAAATAGAATATTGCAACTAAAAAACAAGTGAGAAAATATAAAGATTAAAATTGGTCTTTGGCAAAGGATTCGACTTCAATTTTTTCAATAAACACTTTTATTTTCAAACACCCTAAAGTTTATCATTATATAACTTCTCTAGCTAGCTATCATCATAGTAAACTACTTGTCAAAAGCACAAACCAACCAGATTAAGGGTCTGTTTGCAACAGCTTCTGCTTTTAAAAAAGTGCATTTTTTAGTGAAATCGGGAGAAGTGATTAAATAAAAATTGATAGTGTTTGAGACAAAAGTGATTTTGAAAAGTAAAGTTGGTACTGTTTGGTAAAATAAGTGCTTTTGTGTAATAGAAAAAGTAAAAGCACTTTTGACACGAAAGCCGAGAAAAATAAAAGTTGATAGTGTTTGGTAAAAGAAGTATTTTTTAAGCTAAAAGCTGAGAAGTGCTTTTTTTAAGCATTTGCAAACCAACCCTAATTCTAATGGACACTGCCGTTTGAAAAATAGGCGAAGTATTTTACAAGACCTAATAGTAAATAGTTAGGAATGGTATTGATGGAAAAGATCTTGTCCATCCGGATGGATAGGAGGCGCCGTCCGGGAGGTCATCAGAGACCCTTCCTGGTGCATTTTTTGATGAAATTTTTTGAACATGTTCCTCATCAAGTCTAGTTTATCCATACCAAATGTTTATGTCAAAATAAACTAATCTAAAATATATGTGAAATTGGATTGGGAATCAAGCAAATAAGATCGACCAAGTAGGATTGACAAGGTAAAACAAATAAACTAATCAGTAATTGACAATTCGAATAGCTATATGCTTTTTAATGGAAAAATTGGAGAATATATGCTCGTAGCTAATCGTATGTATACGAGTACCCTCCCTGATTATATAGAGCCTGTAACTATATATAAGAGAAGCATTTAATGCACTGTTGTCCGTTGTTGACGGTTTCGACCGTTACGACGACATGTTCCGACCGTTACGACGACATCAAAATCATCATTATGGCATCATCAATTCTGGTCAGCCCTTTAATTAACCCACACTTTAATTACAATAATTACTCTAATTATATACATAAAGCCGCTTAGATTAATCAGCTAGCATTAATCCTACTAAATGCGACCAAGCCTTTTTGAATGTAGTCCAAGCCGTCAAATCCGTGCACCAACACCAAATTTCAGCTAAAAATTTGGTCGGGAAGGCAGTCAAATAAATTGTGGAACAAAACTGCGCTGTTTATATATATATATATATATATATATATATATATATATATATATATATATATATATATATATATATATATATATATATTTTACATATATATATATATATTTTACATATATATATATATATATATATATATATATATATATAAAGCGCAATTATCTTCAAAATTTTATTTCACTGTCTTCCCGATCGAATTTTTAACTGAAATTTGGTATGGATAAACTAGACTTGATGAGGAAAATGTTCAAAAAAATTCATCAAAAAATTCCATCGGGAAGGGTCTCTGATGGTCTCGGCCGAACGGCACTTCGTGTCATCCGGATGGATAGGATCATTACTCTGATATTGACTATTGGTGATGATATTATGATAAATATATCAATGAGTATTTGAAATTGTTCAGAGTTCAGACGAAACAAGCAGAAGAAGATAACAACTCAAACCTTACTTTAGCTTAAAGTTCGAAGAAAAACAAAGGAGGTGTTTTATGTAAATCTTATACTCAATCATTATATTTGAAATATAATATATTTTATTAATAAAAAAAACTATATGAAAAAAGACTAAAATCATCATCTGCAGTAACTTCAATCAATACAGTCATTACAGTCATGAAAGTATCTGCAACTTTACTTTTTTTTATTCTTACACAATTTAGCGTGTGAAATAAAAAATTACATGTTAAACCTGATTAGCCGAAAAAGAGAGTCACATGGACTCTAAAACATACTATAAGTTATTAAGTTATGAGCTTTGTTTATATTTTAGTCTTATTTGAACCAATTTTCTTTATAGAAATGTGTGATAGATCATTATCCTACACCAGAAAATGAACACATCAAGACTAAACTGGCTGGGATCGAAAATTAGTTGTGGGTATTACCAAAAGTGGAAGTAATTAATTAGACTAAGACACACTAATTAGGTGAGACATACATGTTTAATCCACACATTACTACATGTTTTACAAAGCAAAGGCCAATTCTTCAACATTTTCATTTACCCCAGTGCCGCAAAAGCTCCCACCTACGGTGGGGTAAGGGGGTCGGATGTACGCAGTTTACCCCTGTACTAAAAGCCAATTATTATTATTTACTAAATTTATTAAACATGCTTGACTATTTATAAATGTTTATTCCTCATAAAATTATCCCATTATAGATCTTTAATTACGCTTGTCTCCTTGCTTAATTTTCGGCTGGAATCGCCATTGTCAAGCAAAGCCAAGCTCTCACAGTAGGTTGCTGATTGAAGTTCAAGAGCAGACTTGTAGTCATACCCCTCCAGTTTCCTGAAGGAACCACCATGGGCAGACCTGTAAAACACCAGCTCTGTTCCAAGCTTGAGCAAAAACTCATCCCCATTTTCTGACATATACACCACAGACACATAACCTCTAAAATCTCCATAAGGCAGCAAAGAGACAGAAGAAACTTTAGTCCAAGATTCAACCAGCCCATACTCCTTCATCACCCACACATCCACCATCTTCTCTGCAGAAGATATGTAACAAGCTGCCAGGTGTTTACCATCCAGAACCTCTAATTTCAAGCGAAATTTCCCATTTTGAAGGATTTGAGGAATTGATATGGTCTTATAGCTGCCCTCCATTATACTCAGATCAATGGCAATAATTTCCCAGAAATCATCCGCGTGGCGGATTTCCCAGTGAAGAGCTCCATTGAGAAAGACCCCGCATTTTCCGTTTATATACCCACTGCTAAACCCAGACATTATAGTCCAAGAATCAGTCTTTAAGCTATAAGACTGGACTTCATTGCCATATCTACCCCCAGATTGGTCAAAACTGGAGACTTTTATGAGTTTGTAATCTTTTGTGTGTTCATCGAAACCAAACCCATATCTGACATAGCATCCAGTCTTTCTCTGAACCCAGAAATCTGGGAATTCCCAGGACTTTCTTGTTGATGGATTCCATATGAGCAGTTTGAGAGCAACAGTGGAGAGACAGATCAGCCCTTTACAAGAACCTAAGATTCTCGGAGATTTACAGGGAGAACTGGACAAACGGCTGAGATTGGGTAAAACCAGAGAGGGGTTCTCTCTGGAAAAGGAATGAATGGAACAGATTCTGCCCTGGCCGGAGACTGAAGCAAGGAGGAGGAGTCGCCGGTTTTCGTGTTTCTGGTCGGAGATATCCCCATGGGCGATGACAAAGCGCTGGCTTGAGATCAAGGATCGCCATGATTTCGAAACGGATATGAATCGCAGGAGACATTCCACGGGCAATCTTGTTAGGATTTCTGTGATGATTTCTGGGGGAAGATTGGGCAGCGTTTGGGATTCTTGGGGTGAAAGAACGGCCGTTTCTTGAGGTGGTGGATACTCCCTTTGGGCCCCACTCGCCATTGATATTTCGTAGGTGAGAAAAAGAAGTGGACTGTTCTGCAGGTTCGGATATTCCGATAATACAAGGTTTGGTATGTGATCACTTTTACCAATAATGGAGTATACGAAGTATATTGATTGAGGATTGAAGTGGTGGCTCCGAGCCTCGTACGGAGCTTTCAATTATATACCCAACAATGACTTGGAAAAGTACTCACTTGGAAGTCTTGAATGATATTATATGGTTCTAAGAGGTAACACGTCTATTTCACATTTTCCACATATTCCTCATCTCTTTCCCTCTTTCTTCCTTAAGAAAAGTTACGGCAACGTAATCTGCTAGTCTGATATGGTCTGGTCTGATCTGGTCTGGTAATGTCTGATATCTTTGTATTTTTATAACTATCCATATCTGGTTTGGTCTGGTCTGAATTAATCTGGTCAGATCTGGTCTAGTCTGGTACAGTTTAGTACGAATTACAGTCCAAGTAAAGACATCCTTACACGCTAGTTTTTTGTTTTTTATTGGTTTTGCAAATAGAATTTTCCATTATTCCAAAAAGGTGAAGTTTATGGAAGGAATTACCAAAAAACGGGACTTTCGAGTCTGACATTCCAAAAAACGGGTTACCAAAACACGGGAGTCGGATTCCCCAATTCCGACTGGAGATTAGGGTTGCGCAAAAAAAAATCCATAACTACCTAGTCAGAATTGGGGAATCCGACTAGACTAATTTAAAAAAAAAAAATACACTACCTAGTCGGAATTAGAGAATCCGACCAGGGTAAAATTTTTTAAAAAAATTGTATTCGTTCTTTTAATAATTGGAGTCTAATTTTAAAAAAATTTAACTACCTAGTCGGAATTGGGAAATCCGACCAGGGTATTTTATTAAAAAAAAAAATTGAAATCCTAAATCACTCTCATTTATAATAAATGGTATTCTAATTTAAAAAAAAAATCAACTACCTAGTCGGAATTGGGGAATCCGACTAGGGTATTTTTTTTAAAAAAAAATTGTATTCTTTCTTTTAATAATGGAGTCTAATTTAAAAAAAAAATCTAACTACCTAGTCGGATTACCCAATTCCGACTAGGGTATTTTATTTTTTAAAAAAAATGGATTCTTTCCTTTAATTAAGCGGACTATAATTAAAAAAAAAACTGCCTTGTCGGAATAGGGAAATCCGACTACAATATTGATTTAAAAAAAAATTGATTGCTTCGCACTATAATTTAAAATAAGAATCCGACTAGGGGTAGGGGACGTGTTTAGTTGTGGTTCGAGTATTTCACCAAACTCCTACCCTAATAACTCTATAAAAACCGTTCATTTCTTTTCAAAATTTACAAACACACTCCAAAAACACTTCTTTCTTTCTTAACATACCATCCGCACATACCATATTCACCCAAAACACTTTGATATATTCATTATTTTTTTGTTTAGCATTCCCCTCTCATATTATATTTATAATATATACCATATATAAAAATGTCTAGTGAGGGCAATATTGTTGTTATGGTTCATTGGAATGGCTCTACATCTCAAAAAGATGATGAAATAGAGTACTCCATACCTCCTAGGGCGGTACTATGGGTTAGTGAAGGAGATGATTATACTACTATACATGAGAAAGTTCTAAATCATGTTAGAGGCGACGGATTTTCCGAAATTAAATTAATTCACGGAAAATTGCCAAAGTATAAGAATTCAGTATATGTTGCTTCTAGATTATGGCCCATTCACGATGAGCGGACATGGCGTCATTTTTTCCGGATCGCTACAAATGAGTATGAGGAGTTGCACATTTACGTGGAAGCTTCAGCGACCCCGCCACAAAATTTGGAGTTCCACGGAACTCCCGGAGAGGAAGGCCCATCATCAATATATGGTCGGAGGAACAACCGCCAAATGTTTCAGAACTATGAATCTCCCGGTATGTATTGTTCAATTTAAGTAGAATTTACAATGATTTGATTTTATTTGTTATCATTTTAAGAGTGTAGAAGTAGTTAATTTAGTAATTCGTAAATATTAGTTAAATTGGCATAATGAGGTAATGAGTATATATCACTATTATTAGTAATATATGTATTAGTTAGTGAATTATATACTTATCCTATCATACAAGTATATATTATCTGTAGTATAATATATAAAATAATACTAATATTATGCATAATTAGGCTAATTAATAACGGTTCAATTTAATATCTTTATAATAATATTACGCGTACCTAATTACTTATATGTGATTTATATATTACTTATATTAATTATATATTTACGATATTGATTTAGACGGAGATAGTATCACGTCGTTAAAAAAGCTATACATAGATCGCTAACTTATAATTTGTCTTAATTAGGTTTTTTAGGAGTGTAGACGTAGTAGATTTAGTAATTTGCAAAATTCTTAATAATTTGCGCCGATTTCAATTCATGCCCAATTCCTTTAGTCAATTATGCAGACGAATGTTTTCTCTCGCCACCGCTTCTTTGAGTGCATCATATGACGGGTAAACTGCGCCGATTTCGATCCTTTCAGGCTCAGAATCAAGCTCATATGGTTCTTCGGGTAGCTCTACATTGCCCCAGGTGGTGTGTACTTCATCGTCTGCATCATCCCTCGTGGATGAATCCACATCACCACAAAAACCTTGTTCATAATCTGGGTCGTCCGACTCTTCACCTGAGTCTGCATGAATTTATATGACTTAATGGGTTAGATTTTGTTTAAAGGCGTTATATTATAAAATGTGAGTTTATATATCTAATCGAATGAGTTAAAAATTACTAAAATAAATACTTCTAAACAAAATAAATTTTTTCTCGAATATAAAATTTCTTAAAATAACAATGTAACAATATAACTATATAAAATTTAAATTATATAGTTTTTTAAAATAAAACAAAATAGGCAGCAGGAAGATTTTTTAATTATAAAATAGTTTTTTGAATTAAACTCCCCCCTAGTCGGAATTGCTCTATTCGTTAGGAAGATTTTTTAATTTTTTTACATTTTAATTCAACAACAGTTATAATTGGATTCAATACACTAGTAAAGATAAATGAAATAATGAATTTGTACAGATATGGTTTGGAGAGAATAATGAATTTGGTAGATGCGGTGGATGCGAGAAATATAAAGGAAATATTAAGTATAATATGCACTAACTTAAAATTCTAATTTCACAAATCTAAATTAAAAGCAATTACAAAATACAAAATTAACTTCTCCTACACTCCTAAAACCAAAATTTAAGGACAATTCTAAATTAAACACTCTCTCTAACTTTGAACTATTTTATAGCTAAATTTAACTCTAAAATTCAAATTTAACAATCTAAATTAAAAATTTTGCAAATTACTAAATCTACTACGTCTACACTCCTAAAAAACCTAATTAAGACAAATTATAAGTTAGCGATCTATGTATAGCTTTTTTAACGACGTGATACTATCTCCGTCTAAATCAATATCGTAAATATATAATTAATATAAGTAATATATAAATCACATATAAGTAATTAGGTACGCGTAATATTATTATAAAGATATTAAATTGAACCGTTATTAATTAGCCTAATTATGCATAATATTAGTATTATTTTATATATTATACTACAGATAATATATACTTGTATGATAGGATAAGTATATAATTCACTAACTAATACATATATTACTAATAATAGTGATATATACTCATTACCTCATTATGCCAATTTAACTAATATTTACGAATTACTAAATTAACTACTTCTACACTCTTAAAATGATAACAAATAAAATCAAATCATTGTAAATTCTACTTAAATTGAACAATACATACCGGGAGATTCATAGTTCTGAAACATTTGGCGGTTGTTCCTCCGACCATATATTGATGATGGGCCTTCCTCTCCGGGAGTTCCGTGGAACTCCAAATTTTGTGGCGGGGTCGCTGAAGCTTCCACGTAAATGTGCAACTCCTCATACTCATTTGTAGCGATCCGGAAAAAATGACGCCATGTCCGCTCATCGTGAATGGGCCATAATCTAGAAGCAACATATACTGAATTCTTATACTTTGGCAATTTTCCGTGAATTAATTTAATTTCGGAAAATCCGTCGCCTCTAACATGATTTAGAACTTTCTCATGTATAGTAGTATAATCATCTCCTTCACTAACCCATAGTACCGCCCTAGGAGGTATGGAGTACTCTATTTCATCATCTTTTTGAGATGTAGAGCCATTCCAATGAACCATAACAACAATATTGCCCTCACTAGACATTTTTATATATGGTATATATTATAAATATAATATGAGAGGGGAATGCTAAACAAAAAAATAATGAATATATCAAAGTGTTTTGGGTGAATATGGTATGTGCGGATGGTATGTTAAGAAAGAAAGAAGTGTTTTTGGAGTGTGTTTGTAAATTTTGAAAAGAAATGAACGGTTTTTATAGAGTTATTAGGGTAGGAGTTTGGTGAAATACTCGAACCACAACTAAACACGTCCCCTACCCCTAGTCGGATTCTTATTTTAAATTATAGTGCGAAGCAATCAATTTTTTTTTAAATCAATATTGTAGTCGGATTTCCCTATTCCGACAAGGCAGTTTTTTTTTAATTATAGTCCGCTTAATTAAAGGAAAGAATCCATTTTTTTAAAAAATAAAATACCCTAGTCGGAATTGGGTAATCCGACTAGGTAGTTAGATTTTTTTTTTTAAATTAGACTCCATTATTAAAAGAAAGAATACAATTTTTTTTTAAAAAAAATACCCTAGTCGGATTCCCCAATTCCGACTAGGTAGTTGATTTGTTTTTAAAATTAGAATACCATTTATTATAAATGAGAGTGATTTAGGATTTCAATTTTTTTTTTAATAAAATACCCTGAACGGATTTCCCAATTCCGACTAGGTAGTTAAATTTTTTTTAAATTAGACTCCAATTATTAAAAGAACGAATACAATTTTTTTAAAAAATTTTACCCTGGTCGGATTCTCTAATTCCGACTAGGTAGTGTAATTTTTTTTTTTAAAATTAGTCTAGTCGGATTCCCCAATTCCGACTAGGTAGTTATGGATTTTTTTTGCGCAACCCTAATCTCCAGTCGGATTTGGCTCTTCCGACTAGGAGTTTATTTTATTTTATTTTTCCATCCGAATTGCTTTAAATGATGAAGTGCTTTAAATTGAAAAATTCCCAATTGGCATGTGGTTTGGATGGTTTTTTTTATTAAATAAAGTTAGTTTTTTGAAATTTAAGTAATACGTATCGTGCAATTTTTAAAATGAAAAATATACATTTTGATTTTTTGAATAACAAAACATTGATTACTTTATACTACCTCTGTAACAAAAAAATCTTCACACTTTCCTTTTTCGTCCGTAACAAAAAAAATCTTCTCATTTCTAAATCTTCCCATCATACCCTCAATAATTGTAAAAATAATACACTATTACAACTACTTTTTTTGGATTTATCCTACATTCCATCACATTATTCCATTATCTTCCCATCATACCCTCAATAATTCATATCCTCTTTCATTATTCTTAATCCACCTACTCTTGAAATGAGAAGGTTTTTAAGTTATGAAGGGAGTATATTTTTTAATTCATTCGTATTGTTAATTAAATTCAAAAAATGAAGTACAAATTTCATTTGTTTAATGGAAGTGAACAAAACAAATGTAGTTTTTAATTTAATTTATTAATAAATAGATATTGCTTGCTCGGCCCTGGCATGTCACCTCCACCAGTGTTCCAAAACCTCGGTGTGGCCATATTAAACTGCAAAAATTAATAGAATAATTTGTTTGTTTTTATATATGAAACATTGCTTTCGTATGAAAGATAAAAATAAATTATGAATTTGGTATATTTTTTGTAATAATCAGAATACAATCACAAAAGATATAACGCTTTAAAAAGAAGATAATTTTTAAAGTCTTAAATTATTTTTTGATTTTTATATATTCAATATTGGTGTCATATGAAAGATAATAAAAAGTTATAAATTTTTGTATATGTTTTGTAACAATCAGGGTACAAATAAAAAAATTACAGTAGTTCAAAGAAAACAGGAGATTTTATTTTGGGTGGGACCCATTACCTTATATTTCTTGCTTTCACCGTGCATGTTACGTGCGTTATTTACGAACAAACCAAAAAAATGGTTTCCCCTGGTCGGATTAGCCAATTCCGACAGGGGTGGAAAATTAACCCTACCTCTAGTCGGAATACCCAATTCCGACTCCTGTGTTTTGATACCCTAATTAGCTTTCTCGTATTTTGGCATGTCAGACCCAAAAATCCCGCATTTTGGGAATTTCCTCTAGTAAATATACATTGTTTGTGAGTGTACGTGAATGCTTCTAAATGTGTGAGTGCATTTAATTGAGAAAATTTGAGTTTGAATATAGCTCCCATGAATAATCTAGTAAAATTGAGATCATTGTTGAGGATAGATGATAGGTTTTGAGTTTATTTTACATGGCGATAATAAATCATAAAAAGCGTTTATTTTAAGATCGTGAATGAAGATGCTCTGACAGTATGTTTACTTTTTAATCCCACCTCATTTTGTTTCCCCCCTATCTACGTGTTCCTTCAACTTTATTCCACAGCATACAGAAGTGTATACCAACTCTATTCCACAAACTTTGAACAGAATTGACAACATATTGATTTCAAAAAAACTTTAAAGACCAAAGCTTTTACAAGTATCCCTCAGAATTCCAAATCCATAATATCTCATACAATACAAAAGACAAAAAGAAAGTAAAAATGAAACTAAAATTTTTCGAAAATTCAACACCGAGAGCAGGCCATTGACACCAATTTGGATGGTTATTCTTCATTTTCTCATTGTTAGCTTAGCTCCTTGTCCTTGTCATATAGCTCTTTGAAGGGATAGATTAATTGATCAAAACCATTCATGTAGCTCCATTAATTGGTAAATCCAAATAAAGTAGCGAGCTAGTAAAGCATGTATCAATTGCTGGGAGCAAGTAAAGCTAAATCCGGCCTTGATCGATATGAAAAAAATTAAGGCCTAGCCTGGAGAAATTGCATCCCAACAAAAAGATACATGGTCGGTGAGATTAACGTAAATATTCATACCTGAATCCAAAATAAACGAAGAAGAAATAGAAAATTCGTGAGAAGGAGCTGGGAACAACAAGAGTCGGACTGGAGAAGGAGAGTTAGAGCCGCGGAGAAGAGATGAAGAGACGGTGAAAATTTCTTAAAAAACTATAAACACCCATGAGAGTAAGGGCATTTTAGGGAGGAAAAATGTGTTGGTGTAATCCTTTGGCTTAGGTAAGTAGTACAATGTGTTCTAGCATGGGTACTCTAATTAAAAGGTCATAACCTCCAGTTTTATTTCCGTCTCTTGCTACCGTGACTTCTATCTCCGTCTCTCGTCTCACGCCGTTGCGACCGTCTTTCAGCGCTTCGAAGTTCAAACCTCACCGGGCTGCTACTTTCCGTCCATTTCTAACATGCATGATATACTCCGGCGGAGAATCAACCAAAAATTGCACATTCCCTGTCGGCAATTATTGTTTTCTACTGCCACGCCGTCCACGAAGGACCATAAACGGATTCAAAAGAATGAGAAGATACTTATAGCTAATAGAGGTGAAATAGCATGTAGAATAATTAGAACTGCCAAAAGATTCGGGATTCGTACCCTCTCCGTCTACAGCGACGCCGATGAGTATAATCTGCATGTGAAATCCGCCAACGAGGCCGTCCGCATTGGCCCTCCGCCGGCGTGTCTGAGATACTTGAATGCTTCATCCATTATTGAAGCTGCACCTCATATTGGAGCTCAGGTAGTAAACGAACTTTCTGATATCGATATATTTGGGTGTAATATACTGGAGCTCAGGAGAAAGTTGTCAGTGTAATATACTGATTTACGAAAATATTTTCAAGGATTGGAAAGCGTTTTTTCCGCTACTCAGCAGTCAGCACTCTTCTACCGTAAGCCTTTTTGCCCTTAAGTTCAAAGTTCACTCATTCTTAGTTTTGGGTCTTCCTATTCCCTTTACACTAATTTTGTATACATGAAAATACCAAATGACTCCACGTGCAGAAGCATGCACACACGCGCCACATACACATACTCATACTCCAGTTCTGCTAACTCAGTTGAAACACTCTATGCGCCATACATGATTTTCAAAGATAACAAAAATATTGCTCCAACAAGTATTTGTTTCCCAACCTGCTTGCCAGAATTTGATGTTGATGATTTCTTCAAAAGGGCTATGTGGGTCTCTTTATGCTTCCTGATCATAAACCATATTAATCCCACTCCAAGTTGTTTCATCATTACACCATATGTTCTGAGTTGTGTCCAGAAATTTTCTATCAATGTCTTTTCACTCTATGTTTTGTGTGTTTTGATTTTTCAGCGATCCTGACTAATGGCTATTGCTTGAAATAATATTACTCATATTTCCATTTATTATTTTTGAAACAACACATCTGCAACTTTGAGCATTGTTTATCAAGTATGCTTTCTATTACTTTGGTGCTAACTACATAAAATTTGACAGAAAAATCCAATATCCTCTTTTAGGATAAAAGATCAGAATGATTACATCGAATCGTTCATTTTTATTGATGACCCCATTAAGTGAAGCATCCAGAATCAAGTCCTATTCCACATTGGAAAAAGATTGCTTTTGGCCGGAAGAACGTTAAGAATACCTCTACACATGGTTTTATATGTACAGTAACATGCTCGGTTTCAATAGTTTGATATAGTGAATGCCTAAATAAAGTTTGAATCTGTGAGTATATCAGGTACATTAGCTTGTATTTCTACATCAGGTGTAATAATGTTTGGTGATTCATTTAAGATGTTTGGTTCATACCAATTTGTCTGGTTCAAACATTAGTTGTTAAGGAATTGAATTTGTACTTGTTTGAACCCAAATTGAAATTTAAAGTGATTATCTTGCACCAATTAAAGATATGTGTTGCTGCATGTATCTTATTTCAACATATTAGCACTGGTCCAATGAGATATATTTAGTGATTGTTTTGCCAACATCCTTTCTGTACATGGTTGCTACAAGTAGTAACATAGTTCCTGGTTTCTAAATTGCTCTATGCATTTTTAATTTTTGTGAATTTTATTTTCTTTTTTACTTTTCTATTGTTCAACAACTACTTTCAATTCTTTTTTCTCTTAGAGTTATGTTGTGATGCACTTAATACCAGTGCATTTCCTCTTCAGTAATGTTTAAACCATTGATGTTATGCATTTATTTATTTATTTATTTATTTGTGAAGTAAAGTTTTCAATTGATAATATTCATAGTAGATGTCCGATTAGTACTACACAATAGGTGTCCACTTAAGTAATACGGAGTACACAATCGGTGCATTACACAGTAGGAGATTAGAGCAAAGGCATATAAATTACATGCATAGTAGGGACTAGGGAATCTTATAAAGTTTAAGGTGGAACTATGTTTCACACTTGAAAGAAAGTAGGATCAATCATTACAACTGAATTTAAAGCATACAACCATGACATAGAGTC